AGTTCCATCCTTCTCTTCTCTCTGAGACGCAAGCTTTGGCGGAAAGACCGCAGATGGAGGTTCTTCCATCCTCTGTGGACTCTTATCCATCTCTTTACCCTTCTTGCCACCGATCAGCTCATCATCACTGTGCCGAGGACTAAAGATAGGAATGTTTTGAAATGAGTCACGAGCTGGTGACTGATGTCCCTTGTTGAATCCTTTGCTACCAGACAAGCTAGACGATTGCTTACAAAGAACATTCTCCAGAGTGCCCAATTTCCGATAAGAAGATCTGGGAGACCTCCAAGGCGAGGTCACATGTTCAGTGCCCTTAGCTGAACTCCTCTGGTTTGCAGCTAAATCGCCTTTAACCTTCTTGCTCGGCTGTAAATCTGCTACTGTGGCTGATTTTAACTTCTCAGCTCTAGCATCAACCTTATCTGGAGCAGGGTTTGTCTTGGGTTGTGAATCGGCCATAACTCCAATAGACATCTTCCGAGATTGACTTGATGGGTGAAAGTTACTGCCGAAGCTTCTGTATTCGCTCATCTTTCCCTGAAAATGATCACCAAAACAATTCTTCTGAGACATAAGGAATGCCTAATCTCAACGAACAAAATGTACAGATTGACAGTCTTATTCTGAATGGTATATCTTAGGAGGCGCATTACAACACCGGCAATAATCGATGAGAATCAATGAGAATTCACAAACCAGAGAAACAACAACAACAACGATCTTCGTATAACCTAATTTGAAAAATATCAGATATCAGATTAACTCGATTTCCAGATTATTCCCCCAAAATAAAATCAATCGAAGGTCTGTAATAGAGATACCCAACCAAATACGGTGGTGGTAGTATGATGAAAACAAGAGGATAACACATGAATCAATGAATACATATTGGAAGCTAAACATCGTTAGAGACGAGATTCGCAAAACCTAAAAGCATAGCGACTACACATTCATACCAACGTTTTCAGATTCAGAATATCGAGACGATCTCTATCTAAGGAACGAATCGCAGCAGAGTTTTTACGGATTTCGAGAATCGAAAACGAAATTAGAGAAAATCAAGCGACGGTGGGTCAACAAGGAAGAAGTGCTTACTCGAAACAAAGCTCTAGCTCCTTGATCGCCGGAAAATTAACCGGAATTTGAATCTGTGGAAGTTTGAATCTGCTCTTAGTGAGAAAGTGAGAGAGAGAGGCGGGCAGAGTGAAACTTTTTTGATTTTCGCAAATGGTTAAACGTAACCGCCCTTTCGCTCAATTTGCGTGTGTACACGTTATCGTACGACTATTATAACACCACGTGTCTTCATCTGCTTATTGTTTCCTTTATTTTGCCCCACTCTCCAGATATTTTTCAAAACGGAGACGTGAACCGTTTCGTTAAACTCGACGGTTACCGTTAAGAAAATCCGTCCATATACACAGTACATACATCTCGCGATAGAGTTCACATGCATGTCACGTAACGGAGCACTGCTTTAATAGTTTCAGTATTAATATTCATCAAACATTCTATCGTTGAATATTCGGTAACGTCAAACAATATAATTCGTAATATAATATACAGTTAGTTAGTCTAGTAAAGCAAAACTCTCTACTCTTCCACATTTTCATGCAACCATTAACATTTTCCAGTACACTTTGAAGAAGAAAAAAAATGAACTTAGCACACAGCCCAGGTTAGACTTGAGCCAAGCCTGGTTGCCATTATAAAAAGGTCACCGAGCCCATTATACAACCCTTTCTAACGGAAGATTGGGTTGTAAACTAAACCACTGAATCTCAGAGCATCATTAACGCGGACGCTTAGGGAGTTGCTTAGGTGATTTTCGAATTAAAAGAAAAAGAAAATTATGTATTTATGTAAACAACGACGCTTAATTAAGCACATAAAGCGTCGGCGCTTGTTGGACACGTGTCATTAAAACGTCTTCTGGATCTCTCTTTCTCTTCGGCTAAGCCTCTACGAAATCTCTACGACTCNAGAGCATCATTAACGCGGACGCTTAGGGAGTTGCTTAGGTGATTTTCGAATTAAAAGAAAAAGAAAATTATGTATTTATGTAAACAACGACGCTTAATTAAGCACATAAAGCGTCGGCGCTTGTTGGACACGTGTCATTAAAACGTCTTCTGGATCTCTCTTTCTCTTCGGCTAAGCCTCTACGAAATCTCTACGACTCCGGATCTCTCTTTCTCTTCCGCCATTCCTTGTGAAATCTGGACAACTCCGGATCTCTGTTTCTCTCCTTCTCTCCTTCTCTCCTTCGGCGACTCCGTGTTTTGATCGAAGATAAGCTTTCGTCTTTGCAATCAACATGTTCAATTTTTAACTTTTTTCATCAATTTGGATCTTCTTGTTTCTCTGATTCTCACTATTTTTTTTTCCGATTCCAGTAGAGAGAAGGTAATTGGAGGAAAGGAAGGTTTTGGTGGCTTTTTTGTAGCTTTTTTGATTTTTGTGTGTGTTTTGTTTCTCTGTGAATGCGAGAACAAGTACAAGAATCAGTCTCTCTCTCGTCTGCTTCTTACACTTGGATGATAACATGATTCAGTTCACGACTCCGCTTCTTAAGGCTTTGTATGAATCTCCATTTTTACAAAGATTGATTCTTGTACTTGTTCTCTCATACTCTCTAATTTGTAGTTATCATGATAAGTGGATGCTCTTTGAGCAGCATCACTGGAAAAAAGCAAGGGCAAAGAAGCAGGTTTACGAATTCAAGGTTACACACTTTATCCTAAGAACTGAATTTTTTGTTTTTGTTTTTGCGTACACATTATAACTGGAGGAAAGGAAGGTTACATGAAAGGTTGATCTTCCTGTCTCTCTCTCTCTCTCTTGTTTGGATCTCTGTCTTTAGCTTTTGGTTTCTTGTAAGTTTTTTTTGTTCTTTCTGTTTTTTACATTTTGTTTCTGTAATAATGTTGTGTTATTATTGTTACGTACTACACGTCGTTTAGGTGTATTGTTCATTTGGGGGCTTGTCTTTTTGATTGGTTTTATTATAGCTGGAAATGAAGAGCAGAGTGCAGAATCTATGCTTGTTTGTTTTGACTTAAAATGGATTGTTGTCTGATTTGCGTCTGTAGGGTGTTGGAAGAAGTAATGGCGAAAAACACTTTCAAGCAAGAGCATAACCAAGGTTTGGTTCTTGTTTTGGTATTTGTTTTCTCAAAGCCCTTTACTTTTTTTGATCTAATGATGATCCTGTTATTTTTAAACCTTTAGAGAAATATGTTGATATTAAGTGGTGATCAATTAAGCAATGGTGAACTTGTGCTTCCACATTGGTTTGCTTGTGTCTCAGGGAATGAATTTTTATGTTCTGTGTTTGGTTATCTAAAGTTTTTGAGTTTGATTGTTATTAAGTCCGTCTTCATTGTCACTTGTCTTTTACTGCTTTGTCGTTGTGTCACAGACACATGGTGTTTGTAAGGAAAGTGTATATAGAAACTTGTAATACATGATCAAACATTCTTCTTCCAAATTTATAATACATGATCATACATTTTTCTTCCAAACTTTAAAAAAAAAAAATTTAAGCACCTCTAAATAAGATACTTGCAATGGAAGNCTTCATTGTCACTTGTCTTTTACTGCTTTGTCGTTGTGTCACAGACACATGGTGTTTGTAAGGAAAGTGTATATAGAAACTTGTAATACATGATCAAACATTCTTCTTCCAAATTTATAATACATGATCATACATTTTTCTTCCAAACTTTAAAAAAAAAAAATTTAAGCACCTCTAAATAAGATACTTGCAATGGAAGCGAAAAATTAAAAAATTGCTTAACTAAGTTGCTTAACAAAAAAACACCTTAAATACTATTATAATATGACTAAGCACCCCCATAATAGAGTTGTGGGATAATGGTGCTCTCAAACGTAAGTAATTTACAAATACTGTTGAGAAAGATTGGGTTTACAAAAGTTAAATTAGGAGCATTCCCAATGAAAGTATCTCAATGATTTTTTTTTTTTAAATTATATATAAGCAAACAAACTGAAAAAAATGAGAAGAGTTTCCTATAATTCTTGTTCTACATTAGTAAAGATTGATTTTAATCTTATGTTGGATTACGTCATTATAGAATGTACACGAACAAAATAATGTGGGATTACTTCATTATAGAATGTACAGGGACATTATATCACACTACCCACTGTTTTTGCTTTGTGAGAAACTATAAATCAGTACGTAGAGTGATTGTGCTGCACTAATGTCTAGTTTATGCATACATTTATTCTGATCAAGTCACAAGTTTCTACAAATTAATCTCCTCCTCCAACGGTGTACCACTATTGAAGTAGTTATCTCAATAGTGACACATCCAATGGAAGGCCAAACACCATTCTCGCATCTAACGTCGTCTCAGCCTGAGTAGCCACCATCTTCGACGTAAGCAACAACAACAATACGGCGGTTGGTGGAAAGGAAAGCAAGAACCACTAGATAAACTAAATTCTCCAACATGTAACTCAAACTCAACGTACACAGATTTGTCTTATGTATTAAAAGTTATGTAGCTAGAATAATTTGGATGCACAATGTGTTTAAGCGTCACACGACTCGATCATTCGTCAAGTGATGCTTGATCACACCTATAAGGATCACCACCTTAAAAATTCAAAAGTAAAATAAAATATAATAGGGAAATTCAAGTGAGTCACACGGTTCACCGAAGTTTATCATGAAAAAAATCTTGAATATTTTTTGTTTGCTGGTAATTTAAAGAAAAATTATCATCATGTTCGTAATTATTATTACAAAAACAATTGGTATAATTATTTTAGCTAAGAAAACAAATCATTACCAATTTTTTTTTTTTAAAACTATTGCTTATATAAAGTAAATGTTACTCTATTGCTTCAGCGTGGGTTTCTTGACAACCACGAAGGTACAATGAGTATGATGAGAGCAGTAGTCAGCTCAAACTCCAGCAATGTAAGAAGCAAAGCGACAAGTACTCACTAAATAGGGAGTTAAAGATTCATCAGTCCTCGTAAATAGAAACCTTGCGCAGTTTCAAAATTGCTAATTTGTTCGAGGTTTTGATGGCATCATCAACTCTTCCAGCACGAACATATCCATTGACCATGGATCTGAATGTAGACACATCAGGAGGAGGAGACAAGTCTTTGTCTGAACACATGTCCTCAAACAAACCTTCAGCCTCCAACATCATCCCATGCTCGCAAAGCCTAGCGATCACGTTACTATAACACCGAACCATTCTTTTGCTTCCCTGTTGTGACTCGTTGAATGTCTCCATGGCTTTGTTAAACTCGCCAATCTCGAACCAGTAGTCCACCATTATATTAACGGTCTCCGAATCAAAACGTTTGTGTTTTTTCAACATGGTGTGGAACAAGTCCTTAGCCTTTACTTCGAACAAGGCCCCAGCCTCTACGTCCTTGCCATGTGCTAGCAAAAGCCTCAAAGAGTGTTCCCAGTGGTGGCAGGCAAGCTTTCCCAAGGACGGATAGTGCTATAGCACTCCATAGCTTTCTCTTCATTGCCATGTTTGAACCAATATTCCACAAAAATCGTAGCAATCGATTTGAAAACTTCATCATCGTCATCATCATCATCGAATTTCAGCCTATTCGTGTGAAAGTAATCATCAGCATCTTCAGCATTCATCTGATCCAAGCGCCCACGCATCTCAATGAGCATGGGGGTCCAATCATCTGCCCTAGTTAAGCATCTACTTAATCCCACGAATATTCCAGCTTCCGAGTAACCATATGCGTCAACCAAGGCTTGAGTCAAAACACTGAATGTCTCTTTGTCTGCACCGAACCGAGCAGCGTGACGGTAGAGTTGAAGGGCGTCGTCCACACGGCCTAGCTCACAAAAGGCTTTGATCACGTGGTTGAAGGAGGCGATGTTAGGGACGATGTTATTCTCGTTGAAGAAGTAATGAAACAGAGCGATGCCTTCTTCGAAACGTTTCCCTTGGCACATGGCCCCGATGACGGCGTTGCATATGAGGATGGTGTCATGGCGACGACCAACGTCTTTCAAGACAGAGAGGCGAGCCAACTCGACGGCTCCATTAAGATCTGATAGCTCAATCATCGTCAAGACTCTGTATAAGAGAGAAACCGGACGCCCCATTACGTGATCCGCCGCCGGATTTGCATCCTCCAACGTCGGGGTTTTGGGAAGCCAGGAGGGGTCTTTTCCAAGTGGGTAGCGAGCCACGGTGGCTGAGGCGACGCAGGTGGACATGTAACGACGATTTGTGAATTGTAGAGACTTTGAGAGGCCAACCAGAAGGTTAATGCGGCGGCCTAGAGACATCGCTCTAATCAATCTTAACGTATCGTTTTCCAAGATTTGTATTCTTCTACGTAGGAAGTTTTGATTTTAAACCGTGTGTGTTTGTATTACGCTACTACTTATACAACGATACGATTAGAGTCTAGGGTTTATGTATTATCATGTATATCGACAATTACATTATTATATTTTATCTCTGCGTGACACAAAAAAAATATATTTATCTCTAACCTAGATATGTCGTTATCTCTTATAGAAAGATTTGATTTACAAGTTACAACCATTTGCTATTTCAATAATTGATGTTATGGGGAAATATTATATTACCTTGGAAAAGAAGCAAACTCAAGGACCGTTTTAGTTTGGTTCAATAATATATTTTCTTTCCTCAACGGCCCAAAAATGAAGGAGATAATAATGTCATAAAATTCATTTTTCTCGTTGATTACAATATAATTGGAAGATAAATGCTGACCAAAAAAATCAACGAGTTTCCCTATATGTTTTGTCTTTGTCTTCTTCTCAACTGTTTCTCTTCGTTTTTTTAGTTTTATTTGGTTTCGAGTAAGCCAACGAGTTATTCTTCTCTTTTTCTTAACATTTCTTATGATATTTTTTTTTCCTTTGAGTTGAAGATTATATCATAGCATGCTTCTAATTCTGTAGATTCATTTTCACAAACGGGGTAGAAAATCAGAGTTCTGTTCACAAAATTACTATCAAAAGTCTGAAGTTATTCTCAACCTGAAAGGATCTTTTGTGGAAAAAGGTAAACACATTTATATTTAAATTATGATATCTAAATATCTGTTAAAATAAATGAAACTCAGGTTTGTCGCCATTTCCAATTTAGCAAAAAGATAAAATTCAAGGTTATTTATATAGAGTTCAATTTTTCATAGTGATGTTAATATATAGTTATATTTAGCTTTCATAGTTCTGCTGATACTGAATTTTTTTCAATTAAATTCTGTTTTTTTTTTCCTGAAATTATCATGATTGCATTCTTTCTTTTGTTTCATTTTGGTCAAATATTTCACTGTTTTATGTTTATTATGTTATATACATGAAGAGACTTATATTTAAATAAGTTTATTTGCAAAATTAAAAGTCAAATATATATATCAAATATAAAACATATACCATACTTTTGTGTGAAAGTACATATCTTAATTTACAATAAAAATAAGCTTCCCAACATAAATGATGTATTCCTTTTTAAAAAAAAATCACAGAAATCGAATGCATGTATTTGTAATTTTTTTTTTTTTTTAACGCTGGATCGTATTATTAAGCCATTTAGGCAAATAGTTTTACACAATGAGAATTGGCAAAAACAATATAGAAAAGGGATACACCAGTAGGGATCCAAAGTAAACTAACACATCTATTAGTGTATGGATGATTAAAAATTTCCATGTGAAAGCTCCATATTTGCTTCTGAAATAATTGAATCTCGTAGGAGATAATCTTCATATAAATCCAGAAACACCATGCTTCAGACTTAGTTGAGAACGATTATTACTCTCTTTTTATTACTCCAGTAGGAGCCAACGAGAGAAGACAACTCTTTATATTGCTCTATTGATAATAACAGAGCCAAAGAGATTACCGTTCCATAGAATTTCATGCTGTCTTTCGAAGTAACCATAGTTTGCAGCAAAAAATCCATCACCATTAAGTGAAGAACCATCAACGATTGAAGCCGGTAAGACCCGTCGCCACCATCCGCAGTAGATCTGTCAATTACCTTATCTAAACGATTCAATTGAACCGAAGTTTTTTCCATTCCAAATCCATTGGAAAAAACATCCAGAAGAACAATCCAAAATTTTGCCAGATTCAAAATAAATTGGCAATCAAACAAACTAGAAGACCATAAAGAAAACAAATCAAAGAAATAGAAATAAGAAAAATTAAACAATTTATTGTATATTTTTATATATAGTGAAACCTCTATAAATTAATAATGTTGGGATTACACCAAAATTATAATTTTTATTAATTTTTAAAGATTATCATTATCGATATATCAGTTGAATCAAAAATTCAATTTGAGACTATAAAATTATATTATTTTATAGAGATTTTTAGTGTATATTAATTTATAGAGTATTAATTTAAAGAGGTTATACTGTAGATTTAGAAAGTATGTGACTAAAAAAATAATTTATTTTGATTGTCATTATAATTTAATGATCAAATAAGGTATAAGATAGTGAAATTACCCAGTATGTAATACTAGTATTTACTAAAGAGGAAAAAAATAAGAAGATATTTAATTACTTTGGAGTGGAATTAAAAAAAAAGTCATTCAACCGTACAATATACATAAAAAAAGTCATTCAATTAAAAATGTTTTCTTTAAAGAATTGAATTTCATTGAATTTTAAAGAAATGATGCCACATGCCATTTTTATCCCATATGGATAAAAAATACAAATTTTATTGTATAAAATATTCTGTTGCCAAAAAAAAAAGATTTAAATATATTATTATTTTTTTCATGCATTTGTTTACATGCATGGGATTTATAAAATAAACTAAATATCCCCTATATTGATAAGGACTAATACATTAACTAGGGTTAAAGACAGAGTGTATTACGTAAGGCTTCTCCTCTCGAAGCCAAGATGATGATGATGATGTTACTCCGCAGCCGCACTCTCCTAAAGTCTTCCTCGTTCTTAAATCGTCAAATCTCCTCCACGTCTGCCGCCGCCGCCGCGACTTGGAATGAATATGAGGATGAGAAGAATCTATACACGACGGTGAGATCCTTGATCCGTAGCTCAGAACTAAACAAAGCTGTGGAGTACGCACGCTCGCCTGTTGCTAATAAAAGTCGCAGGGCCACTAAAGTTGCTATAGCTGAGCTTTTGGTCCCAGCCTTGTATGATGCCAAACGTTACAAAGACGCCTTAAGCCTCTTTTATCTCCGTGATGGACAATATTATAGCCTTTATTGCCGCACTCTGATCCGCAAAGCTTTTGAGAAAAAGAGACTCAGTTCCGATGCGAAACAGGAAGTGGAAGCAAAACTAAACAAGTGTCTTGTCTCAAACCCTCCTCCTTACCCCATCATCCTCGGAGGAGGAGGAGATGTCATCATCGAGCCGCCCAAGAATCAATATTACGATGAGAAGCATCTATACTCGACGGTTAGATTCTTGATCCAGAATCTCTCTGATCTCGACACCGCCATGGAGTACGCACGCTTCACAGCTTTCACCACTACTCGGACTGCAACCACAACCGCTACTTGTGACCTTATCATCGCAGCCTTGTGCGAGGCCAAGCGTTACACAGACGCATACCATCTCTTCCATTACTTTTTCAACCAATCCAACATCAGTCTCAGCGTCGATTGTTGCAACCACATCGTCAAAGCTCTCTGCGACGATGGTCATGTCCACGTTGCTCTTCAACTCCATCACCACATCCGCGGCAATCATGCTCTTCTTGATTACCAAACGTACCGTATCTTGACCAAAGCTTTGTACCTTTCAGGGTACATGGATGAAGTACTGGATCTGGTTAAAGATATCTTCTCTTTGGATAATCCATACAAGTACGACGTTGTATTCTTGGATGAGAAAGATTTTGACAAAGCCTGGGCACTTTGTTGTGAGGAGCTTATAAGTAGTGGTAAAGATGGCAACAACAACAACAAGGTTGGTTATCCAACTGATCATGCACCTTGCACCAACGCCATCACTAGGTGTTGCGAAGATGTGAATACTTTGTCACACGCAAAGTTGATCTTGGACGTAATGTTGAACCATGATCCATCGGCTTACAAAATATCTTCATTCCAAGAAATGATCAGTGCCAATCTAAAGGCTGGGAGACTCGATGATGCTTTGGAAACTGCTAACATGATGGTCGATGCAAATCTAAGACTTGTCTCTATCTTAATGAAGAGCTGATGATTTTTTTTTACATTGTTTCATGCATAGACTCATTATATCTCTTGAATATGGTGTGAGACTCATAATATCTATGTTTCTTATTTTGATTAGGAGCCACTAAATCCTTATTAAAAGTTACTAGAGATTTTCTCCTTGTTAAATGGCATAATGATAACTACAGCTGAGTAATACTACTCATTCGATGATCAACTAATCAATGTCAAATTATACATATATATCAACATTCTCGTTGACATATACCACAAATAAGAAAGTTAAAAGAGTGTTCACCAATAATATATAACAAACCATAATTGACCAAAAAGAAAATAAAAATGAATAAGCATAAGAAGATATATATGTTTTAAGAAGCTGCACTGAGATGAAGCTGCACCAACGAAGCATAAACTCCGTCTTTGATATTGATCAAGCTCTCGTGCTTCCCTTTCTCTACAATAACTCCGTTTTTAACGACAGCAATTACATCAGCGTTCTTAATTGTCGATAACCGGTGAGCCACAACAATCGTAGTCCGGTTTACCATAACACGGTCAAGTGCATCTTGAACCACGCGTTCAGACTCAGCGTCGAGAGCACTAGTAGCTTCATCAAGTAGCAATACCTTAGGATCCTTGACGATGGCTCTAGCTATGGCAACTCGTTGTTTCTGCCCACCTGATAACTGTATTCCTCTTTCTCCCACCATCGTATCGTAACCCTTTAAATCAATAAACCAATTTTAGATTATTTCGAAACCTATTTCTTGGAACACAAGAAACCCCTAAAGATTTAGTTATTACCTGTTGTAGACCACTGATGAATCCATGGGCGTTTGATAGTTCAGCTGCTGATACTATTTCAGATTCACCCGCGTCTCCTCCTTTTCCGTAAGCAATGTTGGCTCTGATCGTTTCGTTAAACAAGATCGGTTCTTGGCTCACGAGTCCCGTTTGTTGTCTCAGCCATTTTAGTCGCAGACTTTTTATCTCTACACCATCGAGAGTGATCTCACCTGAGTCTGGATCGTAAAACCTCTGTAGCAAAGCGATCACCGTTGACTTCCCGCTCCCGCTTTCTCCAACCAAAGCAACGGTCTATAAAGGTAAAAAAAAAGAACAGAACAGAGTTTGTCTTAAAAGGTTCTGTTTTTTCTTTTTTTGAGTATCAAAGAAGTCAATGTTGAGTCATCCTAACCTTTCCAGCTCGGATACTTAGACAAAGATCTTGGAATATTTGAACATCTGGTCTTGATGGATATTTGAAACTAACATGACGTAGCTCAATGTCTCCTTTAACAGTATCCAACACCCTTCCAGACTCTATACTTGGATCAATCTTGGATTCTCTGTCGATAATCCCGAAAATCGAAGCAGCAGCTAAATCAGCTTTGCTTGAATCAGGAGACAACGAACTCGACTGAGAAATGGCAATAGCCGCCATCGTCAAAGCAAAGAAAACCTAGGAATAATCAAGAGAACCGTGAGTAACAAGAAAGAGACCCAAAAAAAAAAAAAACATAAAATTTGTTTTGTTTCTTTTTATAGAATAATACCCTGAAAACAGAGTCGAAGGTTGTCTTGTCGTCATCCACAAGTCTTGCCCCCACATAGAAACTGGTAGCGTAAGAAGCAAAGAGCACGAAGAAAGAAAAACCGAAACCTATTCCACTGACAATGCCTTGACGTATCCCTGTCTTCATAGGACCTTCACACTTCTTTGTGTACATGTTCATCACTTTGTCTTCTGCACAGAATGAAGCTACCGTTCTTATGCTCCCAACCGCATCATTCGCCACCTGACTCGCTTCCCCATACATTTTCTGCACCACACGGCACATAGAGTGAGAGTTTATACATAAAACAAATGCATCATTGGCATATGACTCCCAATTTTTTTTACCTTTGCATCTGCGCTGAAACCTTTCATGAACTTCATGTAAAGAAACCCATTAAGCGCAATAAGAGGAAGCATCGCAAGAACGACAAAAGCTAACTGCCAACAAGCCAAGAAGGCAATGATCAAACCAGCCAATATAGAAGAAAGATTCTGAACCATCTGAGCCAAAGCATCTCCCACTAAACCACGTATCGCTGCTGCATCTGCCGAAAGCCTTGCACCAATGGTTCCACTAGAATGCTCTGACTCATCAAACCAACCAACTTCCATGTGAACCACTTTCTCAAAACACATACTCCTTATCCTCTGCACTAGCTTACACCCAGCTATGGCAAAGAAGAAGGTTTGAGCCGGGTAGGCAATGACAGAAGCGAAACCAAGAACCATGAATATAATGGCCCAGAAGCTTGTGTCCTCTTTAAGCTCCTTAGGTGGTTTGAAAAATGCTTTGATCACGCTTGAGATTAGTATACCGAATAGAGGAAGTATAACACCGTTTGCTGCTGCTGATATAGTTCCGAGTATGAGCACAGGGATCTCTGGTTTGTTTAGAGCAGCGATTCTACGGATAGATACTTTCTTTGGTTTGGTCTTTGGCTCTGTAGTATCATCATCATCCTCTTCTTGATCTTGTGCGACGTCGTTTCCTTCAATCCCTGCTGGAAAACCAAACATGTTGAAAGAATGGCGACTACTGTTTCCTCTAGATGACCCTCCTTTGCTTAAAGACCGACCTAGAGACGATTTTCTGAAACTAGATTGCTTGTTTTGCTCATCTTCTGGATTCTCTTCGTGTTTATTCTCTTCTTGAAGACGTATGAGCTGAGAATAAGCTCCTTCAGGTTCCTTTAGCAGCTCAGTGTGAGAGCCTTTCTCTACAATCTTTCCTTGGTGAATCACAGCTATCATGTCAGCGTTTCGCACCGTGCTTAACCGGTGAGCAACCACAACTGTAGTCCGGTTAACCATGATTCTATCAAGCGCTTCTTGAACCACTCTCTCTGACTCTGCATCAAGCGCGCTTGTAGCTTCATCCAAAAGCAAGATTCTTGGATCTTTAAGAATGGCTCTAGCCACAGCGATCCTCTGTTTCTGCCCACCTGAAAGCTGAGTGCCGTGTTCTCCAACCATTGTGTCCAAACCCTGAGGAAGCTTATCCACAAACTTGGAAGCGTTTGCAAGCTCTGCAGCTGCTTTGATCTCTTCGAGTGTAGCGTCTTCTTTACCATAAGCTATATTGTCTTTGATGCTTGCAGTGAAGAGAACCGGTTCTTGACTCACGAGACCAATCTTGCTTCTGATCCATTTGAGCTGAAACTCTTTTAGGTTAACACCGTCTATGAGAACTTCACCGGCTTGTGGATCGTAGAATCTCTCTATCAGACTCACAACAGTAGACTTCCCACTCCCACTCTGACCAACTAAGGCCACGGTTGTACCACTCGAGATAAAGAGCGAAAAACCGCGGAAGATCTGCTCATCAGGTCTTGCAGGGTAAGTGAAGTAAACATCTTTAAGCTCAATGTCTCCTTTGATGTCATCCAACACTTTACCGTTTGTACTATAAGAATCAATGTCAGGTTTTCTCTCTATTGTCTCAAACATCTTGTAAGCTGCAGCTTGTCCAGCTGCAAAAGCTGTTAAACAAGGAGATGCTTGACCTAATGACCTAATAAAGAAAAAGAAAAAAAAAACAAGTTAGGTATTCAGGAAAGTTAAAACACACAAAAAAAAAAAGATGCATTGTGTTGATGAAAAGGTTGTTACATGGATCCAGTTAAAACAGAGATGATGATGTTGAGAACTTGTCCTCCTGAGTAACCTTTATCAAGAATCAACTTTCCTCCATACCAAACCGCTAAACCATAGCTACAAAACACTACAAGAAAGAGTGTTCCAAGTCCTAATCCAGTTGAACCACCTTCCATGACTCCTGCTTTATAAGCAGTCACAAGATGTTTGTTGTACTTGCTTATCGCTTGTTTCTCTCCAGTAAACGAAGCAACCTAGAAAGTTTGAATAAAAATGTCTCAGAAAATTTGTATATAGACAAAAGAGTAAGTAAGCCTAGTTACCGTTCTTATGGAACCGATGGTTTGTTCAACTACAACAGCAGCTTTAGCATAAGCGGTTTGTCCACGAGAAGCTGTTCTAGCAATGACAATGGCCAGACCCGCACCGGCCATTACAAGAAGAGGTATTGAAGATAACATGACTAAAGTTAACAGCCATCCTCTTGCGAAAGCTATCACAAAGCCTCCAATAAATGTTGCTAGAAGTTGTATAGCTTTCCCCACCTGCCATCACAAAAACGTCGTCGTTTCATCAACAATCTATTAAAATTGTTTTTTTTTTTTGACTATGAGAGTGTGTGTGTGTATACCTTCTCTCCCATGGCGTCTTGGATTAGAACAGTGTCACCAGACATTCTTCCAACGACTTCACCGGTATTAGTATCAACGTCGAAGAAGGCTATGTCTTGTCTTAAGATGGTCTTTAGATACATACTTCTTATTCTTGCTGCTTGTCTTTCTCCAGAGATCATCCAACCAGACAACTCTGAACATTCATATACATATCAAGAACGTTCAAAAACTCTGTTTTGCTTAATCTTTTGACAGATCCAAGAACTTACGTAGAAAAGCAGCCGCAAAAGTACCGATTCCAAGCCATACAAACTTCAGAGCTACCTGTGAGTGAGTTAAGAGACTGTTATTACCAAAAAGTCAAACTCTAGAAATGATCGTTATTTATTAAGACAGAAAAACATCATAAAGTGGGTTTTTACTTTGGAGACTTTGTCGGAAACATTTGCATTAGTCTGGTTCTGTCCAAAAGCATCTACAAGATCTCCGAACAGTATGGTCATAATAGGGAAGCCGAGACCGTTTCCAATAGATCCAAGCGTCCCCAGGACCATCAAAAGGAAGTCAAAAGAATCTGCAAATGCAAATAGCTTGTAAAACGGCACCGTTTTGGTTTCCTCATGATCTTCTTTCTTCACTGTTTTCTTCACTTCTTTGTCTTCTTCATCTCTGCTTCTTTTGGTCTCTTCAGAAGCCTCTTCTACTATATTTTCATCTCCGTTTAAGCCGCTCTCTGAAGCCATTAGGTAGAGTCTT